CTTTTAGCATAGTTTATTAGTTCTATGGTTTTGAATTTATATTTTGTATCTAACATATATTAATAATATTTTTTTATGTAATACTTTCCTTAGTTTTACTTGGGTATGGGTAGTAGTATTAGTGTTCTTAAAATTTTAGTTTTTTATATTCTAAGTAAAACATATGGCTAAGTAATTCTTTGCTAATAACTATATTGCATAATGTTAGACAAATTTATTTAGATTCTATTTCTTTAAGCCTACATACAATTTTTTATTTCTAAGTTAGACTTTGTTTTGATCTGAGTAATATATATTTTTTTCAAATCCTAGCTATATATTTATTCATATTCTAATTAAACACATAATAAATAAATAATGCTTCTCTAAATTAATGATAATAAATCTTAGTATTTTTTCTTTACTTTTTATTGAGTCTGGAATGTAATATATTAGTTTTCTTAACATTTTAGGATTATAAATTTATTTATATTCCAAGTAAAACATACTTTACATTAAAAATCTAATTAAAAATTTATTTTTAGTAATTCTTGTTTTTTTAATCTAGGAGTGTACTAACTATATTAATATTCTAATAACTATAAAACATTATTCTCAGAAAGTTTTTTGTTACTTTTTTCTGTTTTGCATATGAAGTTTCTTAAAATTTTAGTATTTTAAATATATTCGAGTATCATTTGGGATCTTGAAATTTCTTCTAAAGATTTTGATAGTTTTCTTTGAGGAAATACATGCTTATAATTACTTCATTAATTCTTTTTTCAAATGTGGAATATAATATTTGTTATTTTGATAATATTCCAATTTAGTTTTCAATGTAACAAAACTATAACAATCAAAACAGTGTTTCCTAACTAAACAGCATATGCTGAGCAATAATATATATTTTGATTGTCATAATTTTGAAAATTGAAAATTTACATTGAAAATTAAATTTGAATAGTGTCAAAACAATAGATATTATATGCCACTTTGAAAAAAGAATTGGGAAAAAAACTATAATTATATATTTTCTTAAGAAAAACTATTAAATTCCTTGGAAGGAACTATAAAGATCATATATGAGATAATGAATTTACATTGCAAAAGGTTGAGTGTTAATGCCAATCAACACATTGCATGTAACATATGTCATAACATTTTCTTTTGCCTCAAGTAATTGGCAACTTCCTATTGGATAAAAGAAAACACCAATACAACTATTCACTAAGATGTGGTTAACCCTTTGACAATTACCCTCTAATTGGACAGATGTTATTTGTTGAATCTGGAGCAAATGCCTAAAATCAATAATTTTATACAATTTTTTTTTTAAAATCTCTTTATGTGTGTGTTTATGTATCTATATATAGTGAGGTCCAAGTGTATGGTTACAATGCCACATACTAATACTAGTGTAGTAGAATTTTGGTAATTGTTGGATTGGTTTCAATCCAGACTGCCATATAAACTAAAGTTTTGGGTTAATTGATATGCATATTTCTATATTATCTTTCTATATTCCATGCACTTACATTGGTGGAGATGAGGAGCAGTTTTTTATTGTACATGAGGAGTGCTTGAATTTGGGATTTTTGTTTAGATCTAGCCTTTGAATTATCTAAATCTCCCTTTCCTTATAGCTTTTTCGATTTATTCTCTTTTGTTTTTTTCCTTTTCATTTATTTTTATGGCAGAGTAATAGTTTCCTCTTCCTTTAACTTTGGAGAAGGAGTTGATGCAATTGCTTGATGTTATATGGTTATAATTGAACAATTAGGCTTAATTAATAGTGGTATTCACAAAATGTAATATACCTCTTCCTACTCTTGTTGCCAATCTTTGTATCCAGTTTTTTCTATGAATCTTAGGGATGATGTGTACCATTAATTTGATCACTTCACGATGATTGCCATATATCATTCTTAGTATGATATTTGGTGTTTACATGAGTTTCCCACATGTTTCCAAATGACGGTGCTGTAGTGGTACAATGGCTTAAATGTAGCCATTTGTGAGGATTAGAGCATTCTCCCAAATATCTTAAAACATATATTTGGATATGTTGACGATTGTGATAATGCTTTCCAACAATTGCATCAAGTTAGTGGTGTAATTTGGTGTTTGTTTCTAAAGCCTTTTGCTCTATGTTGAGCTAAATATATCGGAGTTGGATTAAATTAGGAATGTTGTGGCTAGAATTTTGTCAAAATCTTATAAGAATTTGTGTATGTACTTGTTCTCGCCACCTTTGACGATACTCTTCGCTTAACACAACATTATGAGACATTGCTTCTTTCACTTTTTATTACATGTCCTTCAACCCCACTTCCTATGGGAGATGATCCTGTTTTAATGGAGATTGATATTATTATTGCCTAAGTTCAAAAATAAGGGTGAGGACCTGGCGTGTGATGAAGTTAATTATACTTATTGGTGTTGTTGGTGACAACTTCCATTTCTTGGGTGGAAACTTTGGCATCAATAATATTCTATTGGTGTAGTTGTAGTGGAAAGTCTAAACAATAAGATGCTTCTAGAAAATAAGGAGTTATGTAAGTAATGGAGGGTTCTTTTGCAAATAAATCAATAACTCTTTCATCTTTCTTTTAGGAGTATCATCAAAAGGTTCATTTGACACCAATTCATCTAGTGTTTACTTTCTAAGCTTATTTTTATAAGAAGAGGTCTCCTAGGCTCAAATTTATCTTTTATTGTTCAACCTATTACCACACATTACCATTTACATTTGCATCTTAGTTTTCATTTTTTATGGCAATGGCTATATGCATGTATGTGTATAAGATGAGGCAAACTTAGTTTTGCATGTGGGTGATCTTGAGCTCGAGTTGCAATTGTTACAGATGGTGTTGAGTCAAGCTTTTGACCTTATCCTTGGTATTGATTGGTTATGGCGCAATTATGTCAAGTGTGATTTGAGGCTTCTCCCCCTTGTTTCATATTTATTTATATTTCTTCCATTCTTTTTACTTCTGTTTTTTTTTATCCTTTTACTTCTATATTTATTTCTATCACTTTTGTCTCTCCATTACTTTCTCTTATATTTCCGTCTTATTCCTCTATTCCCCTCTTCAAATCCCTTTGATGGTCTTTGTGTTGTAGTAATTTACAGTATCATGAAAGAGTATATCGATCTCTTTGAATTTGACTTATCATTTGGGGCCAAGATTGCAATATGTTATCCTATTCTAACTGGGAATGCTTGTGTAATCAAGGTTTTTATTTGCTGTTAGTCATCAAAAGAGATCAAGATTTTATGTGTAAATATTAAAGAGATGTTGGAAAAAGTGTTATTCAAAAGTCAAAAAGTCCTTAGGCATATGACCTTCATCTTGTGATAAAGCATAATAAGAGTATTTGTTTTTGCATCGATTATCATTTGTTAAATGAAATTACAATCCTAAATGTGTACCTTCTTCCTATGGTCGAGGAAGATATTCATAAAATTGCATTTTGTACATTACTTTGTTTATACAAATTTTTGGTGATGCTATTTGC